TATTTACTTAGTTCCTCTCTTCCTAAGTTTATAACAAAGTATTTACTTAGTTCATACCCTTTATGAAAAAGAAAGCAAAAACAATAGATTATAAATATATTTTCTTTAGGTGGGAGAAAGAGGAATGTCTTTCCTGCATTATGCGGTATGTCACAGTAGTTAGAAGACCTGGTTTTCAGGTCTCACCTCTGCTCCTTACAAGCCCAGGACCTGACATGAATCACTCAAATCGCTCTGAATCTCAGTTTCCTTATAACTAAGTGCTCATCAAACTAAGACTAGCCTCTGTTATTGTGAGGAATCAAGGGATGTGTTGTATATTATTGTACTTTATAAATGAAACCAGTATGTTCTCCATGAAAACATTTGGTCTTCAGCAGCCTTTGAGAACTACAGAGATCTTGGTGGTAGCATGCTTCCCTGGAGCACCCCTTTTGTATCCTGGATCCTGGGACCTAGGGTGCTTTACCTGGGCCTTCCTGTTCCGCTCTTGTCCATGCATAATTAGAGAACCTCTTTCACTCTCAAGGGTTTTCAGCTTTGCATAATGAATTGTATAATCATCTTCATCCTATTTCTCTTCGTTAACACTGCTTTCTTTTTTTTCTAAATAAAATTCTCAAATACTGAATAATACAATGGAAAGAATATATCAAAATTCATATCGCTAATCTACCATTTTTTTTTAATTTGACCTTGGACCAATTATTCAGATTCTCTAAGCCTCAGATTCTCCATTTTACATACTAGGGCTAATACATCTCTCATAGAGTTATCTTGAGAGTTAAAATTGCATCATGTAAGCATTGTCAGAAATAAAGAATTGGCACTTAAAATGTTCATTAAATACTGATGACCTTTTCCTCCTTGGGTTTGCTAAACAAAACAAAAATTTCCTTTTATCAAAATCATTATAATCTCTTTTATCTTTTTTTCAAAGAGTTCACATTCCCTGAGTCTCTTTCCCCATCCACAGTCCACTTTTCAACCCATTGCATTTTGCCTTCTGATCTCACTCATCTAGAGCTTTTAATGCATTCACTTCCTCATGATCAGATTTCCTTATCTGTTTATATTAATACTGCTACTTGACCTTTGTGTTGAATTCTACAGTGTCAAATCTCATTCTTTAAGCTTTCTTCCCTTCTGTGATTTTAGTCCATTTTCTTTTATCCTGTTTTCTCTATTAATGCCTTTGGACCCTTCCATTGCCTATTTTACTCCTACCTAGTCCTTAAACTTAAATTTTCCCACTCTTACTATCATTGGAGCATTTCTCATTCCAGGTCCTCTCTCATGACTTGGGCTGCTTCAGGCACCGATGACTACCACTGTGGTGCTCCAAACCTGCTTCTGTGCCGAGAAACTAGATTTCACTCATGACACCTCTGTGATTATTTTCTTAACACACAATTTGATAACATGGTTCATGGATTAAGTACTTCTGCTAGCTTCCGATGTAGGTCATCGTATTTTTACATATCACCTTCTCACTGCAGATTTCAGCCTTCTGTAGTCGTAGGCCTCATGCTCCCTCCTGCCACACTAGATGTCTTTCTTCCTGTCAGATGCTGTTCTCACATACTCTCAAGCTTTTCCCAAGCCTGGAAACTCTTCTACTTCCTTTAATACACAGCTCAAAGCTTGCTTTCTTGTGGATCTTTCATAGGTGGCACTTTTAGGCCAGTCTTCTGCCACCACAATAGTTGCATACCTGTTTCCACAGCCAATGCCTATGAGCCTCAAAAGGCTTAAACTCAAGGGTATTTACATTGGAGTCATGGTTCTGTACCAGGTGTCAGAACTATACTTGGCACAGGTGGACCCTCAGGAGATACTTGTTGGAGGAACCAATCAAGCATCTAAAAAAGATCTTACTTAGTTAAAGTCACGTGACGTTCTAGAGACTGTTTCATCAATTCCTTAATTGAGGTTCATGCATTTATTTTGTCCCACTTCTCAGTCTATTGAGCCCATAAGTTGCAAATTTGAGTCAGTATCTTTGAGCTTGCCTCCACGACCAACTCCCTTAGAAGCCTCGGTACATCTTGTAGTCTCTCATGTACTTGTACCAGACTGCCCCCTTTCCCCTCCTGCTTCTCTGCTTTCTCTTGTTTCCTTTCCTTCACCTCATCTCTTTAGTCCTTTTACCTTTCCCAATTTACACACACACACACACACACACACACACACACACACACACACCCTACCCCTACACCTTTAGATTATGAAGACAAACTTCCTGTTTTGTTAAAAGTATGCTTCTTTTAACGTGTTAGCTTATAAACTAAGAAATTCCTTGCCTCATCTTTTAATTTCATTACAAAAGGCTTCCTTTTATTGTTATGGATCCCTTATTTTTCAAATCCCAGGAAGGGATTGGAAGTTGTTGTTGTTGTTGTAGCTGTTATTGTTATGTGCCATCAAGCAACTCACAACTCGTAGGGACTCTATGTACAACAGCTCTGAAGCTTGTCCTTTCCTGAGACAGTCTCACTGACTCTGACACACTTAGCCCCATTGCCCTCATTACTGTATCAATCCATCTCATCTGGCATCTTCTCTCCTGCGTTGTCCCTCTAACTTTCCAAGCATGATGTCCTTCTCCAAGGATAGATCACTCCTGGCCACATGCCCAAACTATGTGAGACAGAGCTTCAAAATCCTAGCCTCCAAGGAGAAACTTGGTTTCACCCTCTCCAAACCAGACCTGTTTGTTTTCTTGGTGATCCATGGTATGTTTAAGACACTTCTCCAGCACCACAATGCAAAAACATCAGTCATTGTCCAGCTCTCTGATGCATAGCAAGTAATTGCAAAGACTATGACCTTGATTAGGTGCACCTTAGTCTCTAGACTGACAACGCTGCTTCTCAGTACTCTTGAAAGGTCCCTGACAACAGATTTACCTAATGCAATTTGTCTTTTGATTTCCTGGCTGCTGGTGTTGATTGTGGAGCCGAGCAAACTGTTATCTGTTAACAACTTCAATCTCTTCTCCATCCATCATGGTGCTGCTAATTAGCCCAGTGGTAAGAATCTTTGTCTTCTTGATATTGAGCTTCAGTCCATATTGAAGACTACAGTCTTTGACCTCTGCAGCTAGCACTTCAGGTCCTTCTCAGGGATCCTTTCAGGGAAAGGGAAGGGGAGGGACTGGAAGTAGAAAGGGGAAAGAAACATCTTACACAATCGAATGACAGGAATTATTAAATAACCAGTAAGTAACCTCTGA